CCGGACACAGAATCGAGAGAGCCATTCCATGGAGACCCCACGTCAATCTCTCACTCCATTCTCGCTCCGCCACTGCCGAAGCTCCTTAGCCAGGGACGCCCCTGTTCTATGCTGTTCGTATTTGTTGTGAACCGCTGTGAGTCGCCTTCGGGCTGAGAACAGCGGTATATAAATAAATAAATGACCAACAGAAAATACTATGTTTTCTGGTAGTCTTTGGTGACCCCTATGGCACCCCCCCACCCCCCCCCCCCCCCCCCCCCGCCCAGTGGTCCCGACCCCCAGGTTGAGAAACGCTGGACTAAATACTTCCCCCTTCCCACTATATATTAGAGACAAGCTCTTACTCTTTTCTTTCTTTTCTATTTAACCAGACTGGGCCTCAGCAATGCATGGCCAGATACAGCTAGCAAATAAATATTTGACTTTTGCTGATGTTTTGGCCTGTCTGCCTTTTTTAGAGGGACAGGGGGGTTTGTTGTTCAGCATGACATTTATCTTCCTTGCCTCCAAAAAAGAGCACCATGAAATAAAAATGTACAATAAATTCTGGCTGCTGAGTGCTTGACCGGTTATGAGACCAACAGCTTGCAGCCCCAGATCTGTGGATGCTTTTTCTTGTTCCGTTGAGATGGGCAATCTGAGGTTATGGTGTGTTTTTCCAGATAGCGTTGCATCTTTTATATAATCGGCTGCTGTGTGGGGAGATTGAATTTTCTCTCTCGATGAGCTGGCATTTCTGGGAGAGAGAAAAGAAAAATAGAGGCCGGATCTTTTTTTGGACACATCGAGGCTAATTCATTGGAAGCGGTCAAGGATTCTTCCATCCGATGAGTAAAATGAAGACTTGGATCATGGGCAACGTATCTTGCTAAGTGGGTAAAGATGGGAGACGCCGTGTCATAAGATGGCTATTTGCTAACATCTGCATTTCGAGAGTTGAAGCGTTTCCTGTAAGATCTCTCCAAATATTGACAGAGCTCCCCATTCTTGCTCAGCTGGAATCGGTGCCAAGGCAAGCAGATGGATGGGTTAGTGAATGCCAACAGCTCAATAGCAGGGATAGATAGATACGGGGCTGCGCTGGATGTATTGAGCTGCTGAAAAATGCAACATCCCTGCACAGTTACAAATCAATAATAAATCATAATGCATTGCATGTTTCTGTGTATTCTTGGAGAATTGAAAGGGAGGAGGAATTGACTAGGAATGCTGACCTTGGAGTGTAAATTCACTTTTGGTTTTCAGGAACTGTTTAAGGTGCTGAACTTATTTTGAGGGCAGCTCAAAGCGTCAAGATCCTTGCAAAGGCCCTGCCAAAGAAAAGAGAAATGTGATATGGATCGCAACAACCCAGCGATTTCATAGAATCAAAGACTTGGAAGAGACCTCATGGGCCATCCAGTCCATGTAAACTGTAAAGGATCTTCTTCCAGCAGCCAAGAAGCAAAAATACAAAGTGCCTTGGGAAGCACCTGCACAGAAAACGTAAACATGTAACTGTTGCCAAAACTCCCATACTCAGCTAGCTTCTGGGGGTGGCCCAACCAATCAGCTTCGTGTTTTGCATTTTTCAGTTAACACACTCACCAACTGACTTTGGAGTTGTTGGATCATGTTGGTATCAGGTAGACTCCTGCAGAGGAGAGAGGATCCCTCTTGTCCTTTGCTGAACGTAGCATTTGTTGGATTTTCTTAGTGAGTGTTGCACCTCAGAATAGATTCACCTTGCTGAAATCACCTGAACTTCACACCGACTGAAGTCAATCATAGACCTCATGGGCCATCCAGTCCAACCCCATTCTGCCAAGAAGCAGGAATATTGCATTCAAATCACCCCTGACAGATGGCCATCCAGCCTCTGTTTAAAAGCTTCCAAAGAAGGAGCCTCCACCACACTCCGGGGCAGAGAGTTCCACTGCTGAACGGCTCTCACAGTCAGGAAGTTCTTCCTCATGTTCAGATGGAATCTCCTCTCTTGTAGTTTGATGCCATTGTTCCTTTGTGTCCTAGTCTCCAGGGAAGCAGAAAACAAGCTTGCTCCCTCCTCCCTGTGGCTTCCTCTCACATATTTATACATGGCCATCATATCTCCTCTCAGCCTTCTCTTCTTCAGGCTAAACATGCCCAGCTCCTTAAGCCGCTCCTCATAGGGCTTGTTCTCCAGACCTTTTATCATTTTAGTCTGGAGAACAAGTCTTTGTAGTTTATTAAAAAGTAAAATATGAAATATAAAATAGAGGGAGAAACCGTGGAGGCTGTGACAGACTTTGTATTTCTAGGCGCAAAGATTACTGCAGATGCAGACTGTGGCCAGGAAATCAGAAGACGCTTACTTCTTGAGGAAGGCTGAGCGAAGGAAGATCGATGCTTTTGAGCTGTGGTGTTGGAGGAAAGTGCTGAGAGTGCCTTGGACTGCGAGAAGATCCAACCAGTCCATCCTCCAGGAAATAAAGCCCGACTGCTCACTGGAGGGAAAGATACTAGAGACAAAGTCGAAGTACTTTGGCCACATCATGAGGAGACAGGAAAGCCTAGAGAAGACAATTATGCTGGGGAAAGTGGAAGGCAAAAGGAAGAGGGGCCGACCAAGGGCAAGATGGATGGATGGCATCCTTGAAGTGACTGGACTGACCTTGAAGGAGCTGGGGGTGGTGACGGCCGACAGGGAGCTCTGGCGTGGGCTGGTCCATGAGGTCACGAAGAGTCGGAGACGACTGAACGAATGAACAACAACAAAATATGAAAAGTTTAAAAAGCAAATACAGTTTCAAAGATCAATAAAACATAGCACTGTAAAGCAGAATTCCAAATGGCACCAACGAAACAAAGTCCCGTGAGAACATGACAAAATCCCAAGACCATGGACACAGGGAAATGAGCACAAGCTGATTGGTTGAGAAGTTGCTCTGACAAAGGTTTGTTTTTAAACACACTGCTTAATACCCTTTGCAATACATGAAAGCATTTCTTTGGCCTCTGACCGCCTTCTTGTTGACTATTCTCACACTCCTTCGAACTCTGAATTCCAAACGGTCAGCCCGAGCTAAGATTCCTGTTTCATCAAGGTCAGGCTGCTCGTTAGTGTCAGCCTGGTTGCCTTCTTGCTTACTATCAGGCTGAGAACTGTCCTCCTTTTCTGAGTCAATTTGCACCTGGCTAGTTTCAATATCAATGTGGGAAACTGAACTTGCACACCCTGTTCCTCATTGTCTACAACAGGAACGTTTTGAACCTGATTGAGAACCTGAATCCCATCATCCTCGTCAGAGTCACTCTGAGACCCCATCTGAGTCACAACACTATCAGTCTGTGTCTGTGGTGCCAGCTGGGTCACAACAGAGTCTGCAGATAGTTTGGAGGTTGTAGGTCTCACTATCTTGATTCATTGCTGGTTTTGACCTATAAAACCTATATGGCTCCGGTCCAACGTACCTGTCCGAACGTATCTCCTTCTACGTCCCACCTCAGAATTTAAGATCTTCTGGGGAGGCCTTGGTGGAGATGAGAGACAGGGCCTTCTCGGTGATGGCCCCCGCCTGTGGAATTAACTCCCCATAAGGTCATCATAAGCCCTCCTCACCTTTAGAAAGAAGGTAAAAACGTGTATATGGGACCAGGCCTTTGGGTAATTAGGCGGAAATGACAATGACAATGTTGACAATGGCTTGGAAATTGATTATGGATAAGTTAAATGTAGTACTCAATCACAGAATTCGGCTAGATAATGGCCACCAGACTGGTGATAGTCTAGTAGAGTGTAAGTATATTGTTTTAATATTTAATGTTTTTAACTATTATAATTATTGATTGTTTGTATTGTATTATGTGGCATCAAAGTGTTGCCGACTGTAAGCCGCCCTGAATCCCCCCCCCCCCAAGGGGTTGAGAAGGGTGGGGTACAAATGTTTGAAATAAATAAAATAAATAAATAAATTGCCATTTATCTCCCAGCCTGGATGAGTTCAATGCATGAAATCCGGAATATAAGTCTACCCCAATTTCTAACAACTGCTCTTTTCTTTTCCCTCCCCACCTAGGATCTGATACGAAGAGACATCCTCTACTACAAAGGGCGCATTGACATGGATCGGTATGAGTTTGTGGATATAGAAGACGGGAGGGACGACGACTTCAACGTGAGCATGAAGAACGCCTTCAAGCTTCACAACAAGGAGACCGAGGATGTGCACTTATTTTTTGCCAAGAAGCTGGAGGAGAAACTGAGGTGGCTGAGAGCTTTCCGGGAGGAGCGGAAGATGGTGCAAGAAGATGAGAAGATAGGTACGGTTGGAGGGTGGTTCCAGCGGGACTGGAGGAAAACCAGCTCCCTTAGTTCCTAGTTAGAATGGGAAGGTCAGGATCCAGTCATTGCCAACAGATAGATGGCCATTCAGCCAAAATGCATCATGCACATAAATCTGGAATGACGGACATGGGCAAAAGTCACTTGGGAATGAGGCAAAACCACCGGCATTTATGGGGCCTCCCACATAGACTGGTGTCTAAACCATTCAGTCTGTTCCAGGTTTATGGACTTCTTGTTTGGATGTTGCCAGAGGTCACTATACCTCATATGTTTTTCTGAATTCTTTTCTAATAATTTTTTTGCCTTACTACACGTCCACCACATGTGGAAATATGTATCTTCTATCTCCCCACATTTCCAACATTTCGAATTTGTGTTTTTGTAATATTTCCCTAATTTATGTGGGGCCATATACCACCTGTGGGCTATTTTCTTTTAACCAATTTTCTTTTAATTCCATAGCACTGGTATACTTTAGTTTTTTGTTCCATATATTATATTCCTTCCAATATTTTATTTCCATCTCCTCATATATTATTTTTCTTCCTCCTTCCCCTTTGCCCACTCTAATAATTTCTTGTATATTTTGGTTATTAGTTTTTTCTCTCCGTGTGCATTATTCTATACCAAAAGTTATCCCGTTCTGCAAAACCAATTTCTTTTTTGTAATATTCTTTTAATTGCCAATATTGGTACCATGATACCATTCTATTAATCGTGTTTACTTCTTGTTGAATTTTTATCGTTAATTCACCTTCTTCCTTTTTTATGATATCTCTATAATTTGGCCACCTATTCCATCCCAATACTCTTCTTTGGGGATACCCACAGTGGGTTTTTTTTCGTATAAGTTTGTTTTATATATTTTCCAAAGTTTTAATAGTGAAGATCTTACAAAGTGGTTGCTGAATTTTTTTCCCCCCAATTCGGCCTTCCTGTTCCAAAGATACAAGTGCCACCCTGTTCTTAATTCCACTCCTTCCAAATTTAATATTTTTTTCTCTAGTATTTTTTTCTTTTTCAAGTTTTGCCCCATCTCTTACCCATATTAATGCACATGTTTCAAAATATATTTTCACGCTCTCACCCCCAACACTAGGAGCTATGTGTTGAGTCATCTGCCTTTCGCTTATACACATATGATTGCACCCCCGTCCACCATAGCAAGGCCTTTGATCTTTGATATTGCTGTTTTTAAATTGTTTTTAAATTGTGTTAGATTTTAGCCTGTTCTTGTAAGACGCTCTGAGCCCCAGGGGAGTGGCGGCATATAAGTTTGAATAATAAATAAGTAAATAAACATTACCAAATTTGCAGATGATATAACCATGGTGAGGCTTCTTATCTCTGGGATGAGTCTGTCTATCACAGGCACTGGGGGCGGGGGCGGGCGGTGTCATGAGGGGGTTTCAGAAGGATCACCAAAGACACATATTTCTGATGGTCTTAGAAACCCCTTTGGCAGAGAAGGCTGAAGATCTCTCCACCTTCTCTTCCTTTTTGGAAACAGATAGCGAATCCTCCCACCAAAAGCCCTCCTCCACTGTGATTGGCCAGCCTCTCAGCCAAGAGTGAGAGGCTGAAACGAAGTAACAAACAAAACAAGCAATCTTCAGGTGGGGGAGGGGGTCTTTATTTCATCATCCCACCGCTTGCCACCATTTGAAACAAAAGCACAGATGGATCTCTAACCGAGAGATTGAGAGAGAGAGGCTTTGTTTATGATGAAACAGTAACTGTGTTTATTTGTAGCATTCTTGTGGTATAAGCGTAGTGGTTACATACGATCAAATGCTTGCTGATTACAGAAAACCTTTCAATATGAGTTTCATCCAATCTTTTCTGGACTGTTCTACTAATACATAAAAACAAACTTCACACTATCTTTGACCTATTCCTTTGACCAATCTTCCAGCTGCTTTTCAGCTACGTCCTCCCAGATCCTAACTCACTGGCCCACTTTCATAGACTGCCTCCAACTGACTAACTACCATAGAATGCTCAGTTGGGCTTCTTCAACTGTCATCCTTGCCTCTGCCCCTCTTTCAAATCTTGGCACCCGCTCATTTGCATTAGACCAATCAGGTCGCTCACATACAAATAGCTTCTCCACTGGTGCTATTGTTCTCTGGGCACCACAAAATGGCTGCTCACACTCCAGCCCTTTAGGGTAGGCCACTTCCTAACTTTCTAAAGTGAGTCAGATTCGTTACAGGGAGGGCTGTTTCTGAGACTCCAAGTGGGGAGCGGAGAGCAGGCGTGCTCAGCGCATGGCAGTGTGGGTGAGGGAGAGCGTGTGAGGCTGGAGGGAGACCCAATGAAAATACATTTTGCTTATCAGATATTTACATGACAATTCACAACAGTAGCAAAATGACAGTTATGAAGTAGCAACAAAAATAATTTTATGGTTGGGGGCCACCACAATATAAGAACTATATTGAGGGATCATGGCATTACGGAAGGTTGAGAACCACGGATCTAGCAGGACCTGGACCCAAGCATCTGTCATTGTAAATAGCGAACTAGATTTCCCGAAGCCTCGGAGGGTATTCAACTGCATTTTTTCTTCTTCCTTTCCCAGGTTTTGAGATTTCTGAGAATCAGAAGCGGCAAGCGGCCATGACAGTAAGGAAAGTCAGTAAGCAAAAAGGTAACCACTGGTCCATGATGTGTTTGATGGGAGCAGCTCAGGGATTCAGCTTAGGGGTGCATCAACACAAAATTGCAGTTTGACCACACTTGAACTACCATGGCCCAATGCTATGGAATCCTGGGAGTTGTAGTTTTACAAGGTCTTCGGTCTTCTCTGCTGATGAGTGCTAGTCCTCACCAAACTACAACTCCATGGAGCCCAGCAGGGTAAGATCATTGTCTTGTCGATTTGTTTGCATGATCAAGCAAGGATTTGAACCCCAAACTCTTCGAGTCTCTCATCCCTCTGCACCGCATTTGAATTCTTCTTGAAGTTCAAGTCAAACGACAATACTGGATGAATGTTTCCAATAAATACCTTTAAGGCAGCGTTTCTCAACCCCTGGGGGGATCACGAGGGGGTGTCATAGGGGTCGCCAAAGACTATCAGAAAATGCATATTTCTGATGGTGTTAGGAACCCCTTTGTTAGAGAAGGCTGAAGATCTCTCCGCCAGTCCTTTTCTTCCTTTTTGGAAACAGAGGGTGAATCCTCCCACCGCAAGTTCTCCTCCACTGTGATTGGCCGGCCTTTCAGCCAAGGGGAGGACTGTTTCTGAAACTCCAAGTGGGGAAAGGAGAGCAGGTGCGCTCGGCGTGATGCACATGAGTGGGCAAGAGAGTGTGCAAGGCTGGAGGGAGGCTTGTGCCAACTAGTCCCTTCAAGGCATGGGGGTTCTGTGTGGGAAGTCTGCCCCAATTCCGTCATTTGGTGGGGTTCAGAGTGCTCTTTGATTGTACGTGAACTATACATCCCAGCAACTACAACTCCCAAATATCAAGGTCTGTTTTCATAACAGGAGCAAAATGACAGTTCTGAAGTAGCAACGAAAATAATGTTATGGTTGGGTGTCACCACAACATGAAGAACCACACCAGGACTGTGGCGCAGCTGGCTGGGAGTCAGCTGCATTAAGATCACTACTGACCGAAAGGTTGGATTTAACATTCCAGCTTTTCTTGAGGGTATTCTGGCCATCAGGGGAGCTGTTGCTTCACTGCCCATTTGTGACATTGATGGAGTACTTCCTCATTCTTTGCAGGCTTGCTGGAGATTTTTATGGCATTTTAATGGATTTTTATGACTCCCAGCCAGCTGCGCCACAGTCCCGGTGCCAGTTCTGGAGAATCAAATAGAGTGGAACAAAGTTAAGATGGGATTTGGTTTTTGTTGTTGTTTTTGTTGTTGATTTTCCTTAACGTAAGATATTTCTCATACTTTGCAAGCTTGCTGGAGACTTTTATGACATTGTAAAGTTAGTCAAATTAGCCTCCCCTTGTAGACGGTACCTACATTTCCTACTTGACAGATGCAACTGTCTTTCGGTCTGCAAAGGTAGACAGCAAGCTACACAAATTGTTCGGAAGCTCACTCCAACCCAGGCTGGCTTCGAACTCATGACCTTTCGGTCAGTAGTGGTCTTAATGCAGCTGACTCCCAGCCAGCTGCGCCACAGTCCCGGTGCCAGTTCTGGAGGATCAAATAGAGTGGAACAAAGTTAAGATGTGATTTGGTTTTTGTTGTTGTTTTGTTGTTGTTTTTCCTTAACGTAAGATATTACTTCTTCATTCTTTGCAGGCTTGCTGGAGACTTTTATGGCATTGTAAAGTTAGTTAAATTAGCCTCCCCTTGTAGGCAGTACCTACATTTCCTACTTGACAGATGCAACTGTCTTTTGGTCTGCAAAGGTTGACAGCAAGCTACACAAATTGGTCGGACACTCACTCCGACCTGGGCTGGCTTCGAACCCATGACCTTTCGGTCAGTAGTGATCTTAATGCAGCTGACTCCCAGCCAGCTGCGCCACAGTCCCAGTGCCAGTTCTGGAGGATCAAAAAGAGTGGAACGAAGTTATGATGGGATTTGGTTTTTGTTGTTGTTTTTCCTTAACGTAAGATATTACTTCCTCATTCTTTGCAGGCTTGCTGGAGATTTTTATGGCATCGTAAAGTTAGTTAAATTAGCCTCCCCTTGTAGGCGGTACCTAAATTTCCTACTTGACAAAGTTAAGATGGGATTTGGTTTTTGTTGTTGTTTTTGTTGTTGTTTTCCCTTAACATAAGATATTAATGGGGTAATAACAATTAAGGATTTTCCTTAGGTGGCACTACTGAGCATCGAGCAGCAAAAATCAGCCAACCAAACAGTTACAGTTCCCACTTACTGTATATACTCGAGTACAAGCTTAGTTTTTCAGCCCTTTTTCTAGGCTGAAAATGTTCCTCTCGGCTTATACTCGGTTATTTATTATTTTACTCTGTTATTATTATTTTTATTACATGTAGTATTTTACTCTATTTATTAATGTTATTATTACATGTATTATTTTACAATATTTATTACATTTATTATTTTACTCTATTGACTGTGAGAGCTGTTCGGCAGTGGAACTCTCTGCCCCGGAGTGTGGTGGAGGCAGGCCTGTAGCAAGGGGGGGGGGGGGGGTAGGGGTTCAACCCCCCCCCCGAAATGTTTCAGATTTTTTAAAAAAACTGGTTTACTCATGAATTTAACTGGTTAACCAAATCCCCATGCTAAGTCTATGAGATGCAAAAAATTAAGAGTCCCTCCAGAACTGCAAGCACTATCTCAAGCAAATATTGGCAATTTATTCACACTGTCATTACTTGCAGCAATAGCCGATGTAGTTGTTCTGGTACAGCTGTACCAGGAGCTCCAACTTTATTTGCTTTGTATTAAATGTTTGCTTGCAGTCCTAGGTTTCAGGGACTCTGCAGATAGGTGGCTTCTTTGGTTGCAGTCATAGGGCAAGTCACTGTCCATCATTGTTAAGTTTTGGTCCCGCCCCTTGCTCAGGGCAATTGGGAAGGGAAGGGAGCCATTTTTAGTTAGTCTCAGCAAGGTAAGCTTATGTATAGGATGTGTGCAAGCTTCCCCTGTACAAAAGCTTCAACCCTTAAGACCTTCCAGGGGAGAAAGGTCTTAAGAGTCTCCAAAGAATTTCCAGGAAAACAGCCCTAAAGACCAAAGAACTCCAGCTGGAGAACATCTACTGCCTTGCTGGTAGGTCCACTCGATGTTCGAGACACAGTTCGACCCGGTAGCGGAGCCCACATCAGTAAGGGTTAGATTACAGTCAGCCTGGGAGAAGTTAAAAAGGGGATTTTCCTTTAAAGAAGAAGTTATTGAAGACAGTTGCCTGTCCTTCGTGGGCAAGATTAGGAATTCACCAGTTGCCTAAAAGCTTGGAATTATTTGCTTAACTTTACTGAAGACAAGAGAAGTTTCTGTTTGATTGTTCATTAATAAAAGACTTTGTTGTACTTCTCAAGCCATCTGAAGATTCTTTGTAGTGGAAACCTCTGAGAACTTCTCCTTAGGCCCCTGGCTTCCCGCTGGGCAAAGGTTACACATCCTATTTTTAAAGCCAACCAATTACAGGCCCAGCGGCGACAGAACATTCACCAACACCAAAGGTGGGGGGGGGGTGTTGAATGGTCTCATTAAGGAGGCCAGACTTGGTGGAGGTGGTTGACAAGGGTGGAGCTACAGGCTATTGAAGGCTGCTCTGCCCCCTGCTGGGCTCTTTGCTTCAGTGTGAGCTAGGAGGCAAGTTTCAATCCCCCCCCCCGCGAAATTTTCAACCCCCCCCCCCAAAATTTCAAGCCGTTCAGCAGTGGAACTCTCCGCCCCGGAGTGTGGTGGAGGCTCCTTCTTTGGAAGCTTTGAAACAGAGGCTGGATGGCCATCTGTCAGGGGTGCTTTGAATGCAATATTCCTGCTTCTTGGCAGAATGGGGTTGGACTGGATGATGGCCCAGGAGGTCTCTTCCAACTCTTTGATTGATTCTATGTTTCTAGGTGATGGAGAAAAAGATTAAGAAGGAAGCTGCAAATCTGTGTCTTCTGGGGAAGTGAGCCCCCAGTGGCACAGTGGGTTAAACCCCTGTGCCGGCAGGACTGAAGACCGGCAGGTCGCAGGTTCGAATCCGCGGAGAGACGGATGAGCTCCCTCTATCAGCTCCAGCTCCTCATGCGGGGACATGAGAGAAGCCTCCCACAAGGATGATAAAAACATCAAATCATCCAGGCGTCCCCTGGGCAATGTCCTTGCAGACGGCCAATTCTCTCACACCAGAAGCGACTTGCAGTTCCTCAAATCTCTCCTGACATGACAAAGAAATTACATTTATTATGTTACTCTATTACCCTGATGGTGAACCTATGACACGTGTGTCAGCACTGACATGCATGGCTATTTTTGATGACACGCGGCCACATGCAGCCGTATACAGAGAAGTACCAACTTATAAGAGCCAATCTAATTCCTACAAAGGCTCTACAAATTTAACATCTGCACATTTGAGCATTGTTTAAATAAGAAAAATATACATTTTTCTTATTTTTTCTCTCTTGAAGTTGACACCCCACCAAAGTTATGCTCTGGTTTTTGGCAAATTTTGACACACCAAGCTCAAAAGGTTGCCCATCACTGCTCTATTATTATTGGAAGGATACAGAAGCATATTGAAGATGCTTAGAATCATAGAATCATAGAATCAAAGAGTTGGAAGAGACCTCCTGGGCCATCCAGTCCAACCCCCTGCCAAGAAGCAGGAATATTGCATTCAAATCACCCTGACAGATGGCCATCCAGCCTCTGTTTAAAAGCTTCCAAAGAAGGAGCCTCCACTACACTCCGGGGCAGAGAGTTCCACTGCTGAACAGCTCCCACAGTCAGGAAGTTCCTCCCCATGTTCAGATGGAATCTCCTCTCTTGTAGTTTGAAGCCATTGCTCCATTGCATCCTAGTCTCCAGGGAAGCAGAACAAAACAAGCTTGCTCCCTCCTCCTCCCTGTGGCTTCCTCTCACATATTTATACATGGCTATCATATCTCCTCTCAGCCTTCTCTTCTTCAGGCTAAACATGCCCAGCTCCTTAGCGATGTGTCCAGAGGAGGGCGACTAAAATGATCAAGGGTCTGGAGAACAAGCCCTATGAGGAGCGGCTTAAGGAGCTGGGCATGTTTAGCCTGAAGAAGAGGAGGCTGAGAGGGGATATGATAGCCATGTATAAATATGTGAGAGGAAGCCAGAATCAGAGTTGGACAGTCTTATCATAAATTACAGTGTTATGTAAACATTCAAAAACATTTAACCTTCTGATGCCTCAGTTAATGTAATTTTATTGGTATCTGTTTTTTTATTTTGAAATTTACCAGTTGCTCCTACATTTTCCACCCTGTAGGAGTTTATACTTGAGTCAATACGTTTTCCCATTTTTGTGGTAAAACTAGGTGTCTCGGTTTATATTCGGATCGGCTTATACTCGAGTATATACAGTACCTTTCATTTCACTGATATTTCTGAACAGGAGGAGGGTGTATCATTTTGTGCCATCTGAATGAATGGTACAAAACGAAAACACAAAAGAAACAAATGAGACCCATGATCAGAGGCGGCCCTAGGTAATTTTCAATGGTAAGCAAACAGTATTTTGGTGCCCCCCCCCCCCAATCAATCACTGATATATATTTTCTGTTCGTCGTGGGAGTTCTGTGTGCCATATTTGGTTCAATTCCATCATTGGTGGAGTTCAGAATGCTCTTTGATTGTAGGTGAACTATACATCCCAGTAACTACAACTCACATATGTCAAGGTCTATTTACCCCCAAGAGTGCCTCAAGAGCGCCCCTGGGCAAAATCAACTATACTGCAAATGCTTACTTTGCGTAATGGGTTGAGCCGCCCCTGCCCATGACTATTGTCCATCATTGATAACCACACATGGGATTGGAAGTTGGAATATCCTGACATGCCTCTTTTTCCCCCTTCTGTCCCCCACCCTTGTCCCCTTCCTCTCTTTCCCGGTCCATACAGGTGTCGGCTATTCTCGATCTGTTCCTCCCGCTTACCCGCCACCCCAGGATCCGCTAAATCAGGGACAATACTTGGTGACCGACGGCATAGCCCCGACCCAGGTCTACGAATTCGCCGAACCCAAACGCAGCCAGTCCCCATTCTGGCAAAACTTCAGCAGGTTAACGCCATTCAAAAAATAATATATAGAGTGAAGTGAAGAGTTTTAAAGAAATAAGAAAAAAAAAAGTTTTAAAAAAATATTTAAAAAAACGATAAAAATTATATTTATAGATGGACCTTTTTTTGGAAAAGCACTGTTGCAACTTAAACAAAATCATATATATATATATATATATATATATATATATATATATATATAGTCTTTGAAGGACCAAAAATGTTTTTGCTGTTGTTATTTTGGGGTAAGAATCCCTGCTATTATATCCCCAGAAGCACCAAGTACTTCTGACCATGTAACCTATTTGATTTGGGCGCCATCGGAGTCACCGTTTGTTGTTATGGCTCTTCTTTTCTTTTTTATATATACTTTGTGTTGTGTCTCGGAGTTGTTTCTTGTTCGCCGCGCATCCCCGCCTCTGACATGTTCCATACAAGTGTATATTTCCTTTCCGAATTTTATTTATGGATTGCCTTCCCTTCGAACGGGGATGGGGACCAGGACGGAAAAGACGGCGCTCTTTTCCTTCCGTCTCATTCCTCTGACCTGTCATGGATGCAAACCTCCTGGGATCTCGTCCTGTCCGCGTTGCGCTGGGCATGGGGTGCGTGTCGACGCGTCTCGTTGATGCCGACGGAATGAGCTCCAATGACTTGCTAAGGCGAATGCAACACTGAATGTGCCGAGTTTTGTTTCTTTTCTTTTTTGTGCGACGTCTGTTCCTCCCACATTTCGTTCCATTTTGCATCCATGCTCCCCAGTGCACTGTTCCATGAATAGGCCGCTTCGTTCTTCGATCGCTCTAATGGTTGCTGTACAGGGATGGCAAGCCGATGCATGGCTTTTCCAATCTGCACACTCCATTCTGTTCCTTTCCTTGGGAAAAGACAGGTTGCAAAGCAGAAATGCTGGGTAGCTTTCGACCTAGGAGAATGGGATAGGAAAAGAGAAAATGGGATGGACTCCAGTTTGTTTGCAATGCAAGAAAATCGTTCTCTTTGGCTGCTCTCGCTGCGTTCATTTTACCTGTGCTTTCTTTCTTTCATTCTTAATATGTGTTTGGATTATACTAACATGTTCTTATTTTGGGTTGCTGTGAGTTTTCTGGGCTGCATGACCATGTTCCAGAAGCATTCTCTCCTGACATTTCGCCCACAACTATGGCAGGCATCCCTAGAGGTTGTGAGGTCTGTTGGAAACTAAGCAAGGGAGGTTTATATATCTGTGGAAGGTCCAGGGTGGGAGAAAGAACTCTTGCCTGTTTGAGGCAGGTGTGAATGTTTCAATTGGGCACCTTGGTTAATAATAATAATAATAATAATAATAATAATTATTATTATTATTATTATTATTACATTTATTGACAAGCCCCCGGTGGCGCAGTGGGTTAAACCCCTGTGGTGGCAGGACTGAAGACCGACAGGTGGCAGGTTCGAATCCAGGGAGAGGCGGATGAGCTCCCTCTATCAGCTCCAGCTCCTCATGCGGGGACATGAGAGAAGCCTCCCACAAGGATGATAAAAACATCAAATCATCCAGGCAACTTCCTTGCAGACAGCTAATTCTCTCACACCAGAAGCGACTTGCAGTTTCTCAAGTCACTCCTGACACGACAAAAAAAAAACCAAGCCCAGCAATACAAAAAATATATAACACAACCAATATAAATAAACAGAGCAAGCATTATAAAATCAGAACATTAAAACAGAAAATTGATCACAGTGGGCAGGGCCAATTGCGAAGATTAAAATTTATAACACTGGGTGAATACTGCAATTCATCACCTTGATCAGCATTGAATGGCCTTGCAGCTTCAAAGCCTGGCAGGTTGCTGCCTGGGTGAGTCCTTTGTTGGGAGGTGTTAGCTGGTCCTGAATAAGTCGTGTCTGGAATTCCTCGGCCTTTATTTACTGTCCTACCAGTAAATCTGACTACCAGTATTAAAACTGGCTGCTTTCTGCCTGAGGGAATCCTTTGTTGGGAGGTGTTAGCTGGTCCTGAATAAGTCATGTGTGGAATTCCCCTGCTTTTTGAGTGTTGCTCTTTATTTACTGTCCTACCTGGAAATCATGTAAATCATGGAGCCCCCGGTGATGCAGTGGGTTAAACCACTGAGCTGCTAAACTTGTTGACCAAAAGGTCGCAGGTTCGAATCCTGGGAGCGGTGTAAGCTTCCGCTGTCAGCCCCAGCTTCTGCCAACCTAGCAGTTCAAATGTGAGTAGATCAATAGTAGATCAATAGATACCGCTCCAGAGGGAAGGTAACTGTGCTCCATGCAGTCATGCTGGCCACATAACCTTGGAGGTGTCTATGGACAACGCCGGCTCTTTGGCTTAGAAATGGAGATGAGCACCACACCCCAGAGTCGGACACGACTGGACTTAATGTCAGGGATAAACCTTTACCTTTACCTATCTGTGGAATAATGTCCAGGGTGTGAGAAAGAACTCTTGTCTGTTGGAGGTAGGTGAGAATGTTTCGATTGGCCACCTTGATTAGCATTTAATGGTCTAGCAGTTTCAAGGTCTGGCTTCTTACTGCCTGGGGTAATCCTTTGCTGGGAGGTGATTACCTATCCCTGATTGTTTCTTGTCTGGAGTTGGAGGTGTCTATGGACAACGCCGGCTCTTTGGCTTAGAAATGGAGATGAGCACCACACCCCAGAGTCAGACATGAGTGGGCTTAATGTCAGGGGACAACCTTTACCTTTTAATACATTATATATTATTATATTATATTATATTATATTATATTATCAGAATAGCACAGGAGACAAGATGGAACTGTCCCCTTGCCCCCCCTCTCTTCACTCTGGCCCAGAGCGACAGTTGGTGCTAATACCTCTGAGCAAAAGATTCCCACAAGCAGGAAGCAGCCAAGCCTTGAAGCTGCAATGATGTTCAATGCTAATCAAGGTGGCCATTTGCAACATTCACACTTGCCTCCAACAAGCAAGAGTTCTTTCTCCCACCCTGGACATCATTCCACAGGTATATAAACCCAATTTTCCTAGTTTCCAACAGACCTCACAACCTCTGAGGATGCCTGCCATAGATGCAGGCAAAATGTCAGGAGAGAATGCTTCTGGAACATGGCCAGACTTCCTGGAAAACTCACAGCAACCCAGTGATTCCGGCCATGAAAGCCTTCGACAATACATTATTCTTATTTTGGTTGCACATTCTGTCCCCCCCCCCCCTTATTTACCTTTTTCTGCCTGCATTATGTACTCAGTTGTCTAAAGGATGCAACCAAGAGAATCTGAAGATAGTATAGATTAGTATAGATTGAGACGCGTCTTGGTTCTCAAGCGATAGCCCATTATGGAGGGAAAAACCCATCCGTTCTGCCCCATCTCCCCTGGAGGCGAGACAGCTTTTCCATGCCATTGGTTGCCATTTAGAGATGCACTGGTCTCAGTGACCACAAACTATTTTAGAGTCCGCGCAGTCTGGCCTGTTCTGCCGATCCTTTGTTTTCGCCGGAGGTCTGCATTACTCCATTAGCCAGTAATAACGAGCTATTAGCGAAAGGATCGTTGCTTCAGTAATCGAAAAACATTTCTCCCAGTTGTTAAAGCATCAGATCTGCAGACACAGCCTGATGCTGTGTTTCTGGAGCGACCAATGGAGATGTTGGAGGGGTATAAATAAAGTATTATTATTAATATTATTATCTCCCAAGCAAGGTTCCTGGCGGTTTCCATGTTGACAGGATGGTGAATCCACTGTGGCTGGAGCTGACCAAAGAACTAGAACATGTGCCCCAAATAGTAATAAAACTGTATTTATATTCCCCCCTATCTCCCCGAAGGGACTCAGGGCGGATTCCAATCAGAAAAAGGTAAACATTCAATACCTGAATACAACAACCAATGCACACATAATAACAAAAAAAAAATAGTTATTTCTTTCGGACATTTGTATCTTGTCCTATCTCAGCCTCCGCAAAGGGACTCAGGGCGGTTAACAACCAGCACACCATGGTGCCCACAACCAAAAAGCATAAATATACTATTTAAATAGTGGGTTAAGTCACTGAGCAGCTGAGCTTGTTGATTGAAAGGTCACATGTTTAAATCCGGGGAGCAGCGAGAGCTTCCGCTGTCAGCCCCAGCTTCTGGAGAGCAAGCTTGTTTTCTGCTGCCGTGGAGACTAGGACGTGGAACAATGGCTTCAAACCACAAGAAAGGAGATTCCACCTGAACATGAGGAAGAACTTCCTGACTGTGAGAGCCGTTCAGCAGTGGAACTCTCTGCCCCAGAGTGTGTTGGGCTTGACGAGACTTAATGTCAAGGGGAAACCTTTACCTTTACTCCAACTGGCTGCTGATCTCTGAACCAGTTGAACCTTCCAAACTATCTTCAAAGGCAGCCCCACATAGAGAGCATTGCAGTAGTCCAGATGGGATGGGACCAAGGCATGGACTATCATGGCCAGCTTTGGTGTGTCAAGGTATGGATGCAGCTGGCGCACAAGTTTTAATTGTGCCAAGGTGCTCCTGGCCACTGCCAATACCTGGGATTCCAGGGTCAGCAATGAGTCCAGGATCACCCTCCTTCATGGAGAGTGTGACCCCATCCCATATCCTGATCTGCCTTCCAACCAACCAGGAGTACCTCTGCCTTGTCTGGATTTAGTTTCAGCTTGTTAAACCTCATCCAGTCCATTACTGATAACAGGCACCGGTTTAGGATCATGATGACATCCTTGGCAGTGGGTGGAAAGGAGCATAAATTTGACACTGAACTACAGAACTCCAGATGATCTCTCCCAGTGGTTTAGTGTAAATGTTTGAGCCCTGAGAGACCCTACAAACCACTGGCCAGGGAGCCGAATAGAGGTCCCCCAGCACCACCATCTGGGTCCGACCCTCCAGGAAGGACTGGAGCCACCGTAAGATAGTGCCCCAAGCCTCATCCCAGAGAGACAACCTAGAAGGACACCACGGTCAATGGTGTGGCGTAATGTAAAATAAACCATGTGTAGTTCACGTTTGATCAGCCCACACACTGCCTTGCCAGAGAAAAAAAGTT